TTGTACGCACAACTCACAGATGGACATTTTTGCACAGGTGACCCCCTGTTTCGGTGCGACGTGTGTGTGTGTATGTGTGTGTGTGTGTGTGTGTGTGTGTAGAAAGACATTCACCACAGTTGTAGCCTGTCAGCTGGTCATTTGTCAAACATCCTGAGCGTTAATCACGTCCAAGTTAATCGAGACAGCGTGCCTGTTTCCGTCAGATACGACATGAAAATTTGTTTCCCCCGGTTGACATTTTGCACAGCTCAACCGTCGTAATCCAGAAAATTTCTACTTTCCCTCTGATTTGTTGACTCGTTTGAATTGGAACACAAAAGACCGGTAGAAACCAAAGACGCATCCGTGGGAAAACCCAAAAAGGAGCTGATCTAACGGAAATGTTCCAGAATCGAACAAACTGAAATAGGATAAACTGCTACAAAATCATCGAATTGAAAGCAATTCAGGATTAATAAAGCAGTAAGTTGAGTAAAGTGGTCGGTGCAGTTGCTGTTGGTTAGGACACTATAATTGGTAACAACGCTTTGCAATTTTATTCACTTGCGTCAACGCCTTTTTGGCAAAAAGAATGATGCATTTTGGTTAGTTACGGAAGACAAATTCCATGTCCAGCACAGCTTTAGTATCACGAACTTGTCATAGAAGCTTCTTTCGGTTGAACCTTACTTCTGAAATCGTGACTGCTCTGTTGTTTTTTCGCGCGGAAGGGAAGACGTATGCAAGAGGGGTAGGACCTCCGGGGTTGAGCATGATACTTAGACAACGACTCGCCTCCTACGCATGACTCACAGATGCACACTCATAATGCTGCCTTGGAAATGACATTCCTGTGCTCAGAGGGCAAGACAACCACTAACTTCCGGACTTCTTATTCAGCATCAGTGCCAGCGATCCTGGTGCATAGGTATACCGTTTGCGACAAAGCTGCAAGGCCAACTGCCTGAGCTGTGCCGTTTGCGACAAAGCTGCAAGGCCAACCGTGAACTGCATCGCCTGAGCTATCAGAAATATCCCCTGTGTGGTTCAGATGGAACCAGCCTCTGCTAAACACAAGGTGAGAACACCTGAAGATGGAGATTGAAATCTGGATGCGGTTCGGCTGAGATTTATTTTGTCAATGTTTTGGAACCAGTCGAGAGAAATGGTGCCAACAAAAGTGGGACGCAAAAAGCATCAAAACATCACTCTTACTCTAATCGGTTTGAGTAGTTGAAAATAAACCACAGTCATGTGGGCCCGCTGTGGGCTGGCTTGGTAACCGTTATGGTTCAAATATTCGCCAATGCCAGAAGTACGTGCCTGATTGAAGATATGGAGCATTCTGCTCGTTGACACTGGATGCTTCTCCAAATCGTCTTCGAGGAAAATCTTCCATGATATTTCCGTTTGTGTGACAAATCGCCTAAACTCAATCGTCCACTTGCCCCCACTTTTTAGTCTCAAATTTTCTCCAAATAGCCTTCGTATGGCCTTGATTACGTAAGGCCCTATTCATGGGGCCGTCTTTTCACACGCACCCTGTGCTCACTCCGTAGCATTCGGTTTGAGTGAAAGACAAGTGGTGAAAGGAAGGCCTTGGCTACGATGTTACGGAAAAACACCAACTGAACAGGTACAGACTTTTGGACAGGGAAGCAAAACTCTCATATGCATCATGTTTATAAGAACTGTGTGTCCATCTTCTTCTCTAACGCGTCTTCCCGGACTTTCTTAGATACTGATTGAATATCCTCAAACTTAAATGAATGCCACAAAGCGATTCTACAAATTCCGTAATAAATCCCACTTTTCAGTAGACGCGAAGCGGAGTTATCAGCAAACCATATACTACTGGGGTGCTTCATCAGTAGTATCCACCGTTACACTGGTAGTGGCAAGATTCTATAATCACCCTTATACACCGCACTTAATTAATTTGCCCAAACTATTTTTGCATGGTTCCTCGGACTCTGCTGGGTACGTGGTGTTGTAGGCATGCAATAAATTCTATCGAATCTCAAGAATCTGACCGCACATATTTTATGAGAACTCGGTCCGCCTTCAAGTATGAAAATGACTTTGAATTCGTGGTTAGTAATTGGACTAGATCGCCATGAAGATGCAATTCGAAACATCCTTGATGTGAAGAAATTGGCGATTTTGATGACAATCCAAGTACATAAAATCGAACGAAAGGTGTACGCTTTTGGTGTGGTCTGTTGCTTTCCGGAGAATATTCTATTGGCGGACCCGTCGCAGACTTCGGTCAACGTCTTGGTGCTTTTCTGGATTCCACGTTGACTCGCCTCGACCCCGCCTAGTGATGGCGCCTTTAAAGGCCATCAGTAGCCTCATTATATGACTTTGACAAGTTCAGGTGCTGGTGTCCTGCGTACATTGGTTCAAATCAGAGTAAGTTACTAGGACTCAAGTGCCTCCCAACCTTCCTCAGTTCACGCCATATTTAGATTTGTATACAATTCAAGACAGGAACTGAGTAGATCTCGAGTCGGGGTACAACCGCATTATGGGCCAAGGAAGACACAGGCGCTGTAAGTAGATGTGTAGTGAAAGCATTCACGGTTTAGCTGGATATGTAGACATTTGGTCGGTAATGTGATCTTTAGCATAACAATATCGGGTGGGTAATCAGCAGAAAATGGAAAGAACCTACTTTGGTTTCTGATCGTTATGTTTAACAGGTGAGTACCCTGACTGAGTACCACTAAGGCTGTTCGAATTTCCCCAATACCGAGGTTGCACTAGGCTCACCTGTTCTGCATCGCTGAGACGTATCGGGTCTCAAAGCTTCTTACATCCACCTGCGTGGATATTTGCGTGGATGTTTGCGTTTCTCAAACATGTATTTTGTGTAAGGTACAAAGAGACGGAAAATCCTGAAGAGAATTACTGCTGGAGGGTGGACGGGAATTTCATATATTCTGCTCAATGTTGGGACGCAAGTTGATCGTTTCTCTCTCTCTCTCAATCGATCAGTTTTCAGATAGATCGCTAATCAACCACTACGAAATTATGGAAGCAACCGTTTTGTTTACAGGTCTACGTTCAGCTTGGATTGTTGGTTCGATCCCGAGAAGAAGTTGACGAAAGCGTCTGCTCTTCATCAAAATCAGGCTGAATTGGATCATCGGCCTGTAGATAATGCCTTGATCTAAACTGAGGTTTCCCCCAAGTGCGCTTGGTGAAACAACGCACTGACCTGGTAATGTGTTGAAATATTGGTAGCTCGGGTGTGTTTATTGGTTGTTGATCAGGTAACTGTTGATCTGTTCGCCGAGCTTGGCAATTGGCTTGCAAACGTTTCGTCACCATACGAGGAGACATCATCAGTGCGCAGTTGAGTGGGTACTTCTTCCTTGCCTGCGTGCGCTTATATAGCATTCGAAGGCTATCTGTTATCTTCCGACGTGATTGACTACTTGAAGTGTAACGAATTTGGTGGATCCATTGGTCCGTTTGTGATCTTTGTTGCGTTGTGGTATGCGTTCCTCTGTGTTCCCTCTTGTTCTCTCTGGCCTTGAGTCGCATTGTGTTGTGGTCTGACGCTTTCGAGTTTGATTGATTGCTTGTGCCGCCCTATTTCCTCCACCGTGGCGGTTAGTGTCGCTGCGTCTGCCGGTTGATTTGGTGCATTAATTGGGCGCCACTCAGATAATAAGATATCAGATAGCCTTCGAATGCTAGATAAACGCACACAGACGCACCCACCCAACTGCGCACTGATGATGTCTCCCCGTATGGTGACGAAACGTTTGCAAGCCGATTGCCAAGCTCGGCGAACAGATAAACAACCACCTGATCATTAACTAATAACGTACTGATCTGACCAAGTTTTTTGAAGGGGAACCGTACGGCGAGCTCCGGACCCGAACCTACAATATGCTTGTCTGTAGAAGAAAATGTTGGTAGCTAAGGTAGCATAGATGGCCGTTGCTTTGTCCGCTGACCTTGGTAATTAGAGTGCGGACGTTTCGTTACCAATCGAGGTGACATCATCGGAGCGTTACTGGGGAGCGTAATGGTGCGTAGCGGTGGGTTGGTGGTTGTGCATTGATTAGTGTTGCGTGTGTGTTGATATAAGTGCTGCTAACCGGGGCTGACCCTTGATCACGATTGGCTGTTCGGTCTGGCGGTTTCATTGGTTGCTCTGTTATCCTGAGTCCTGATTCGTCGATGTCCACGTTTCCTCTGTTCTTGACCCTTCCTAATTCCGACTTGTAACCTTGGTTTATCTGACTTCAAAGAGTTCCTTGTTTCTTTGTTTGTGAATCCGATATTCGGTTCCCCCTGAGTATTCTGGTTCTTTGCACGTAGTGGTGCGTAAATTGGATCCATTTCAACGCATTGAGTGATCTAATCCTCCGTGGGGTAACATGCTTTTCGGTCTTCGTTTGCCAAATTTTTTGCGTTTTGTAGTGAACTGCAGGTGATGTCCCACTAAGGTTTCCCCGAACGACTAACTGATCTGACTGAGCTTTTTGCAACTGTCACCTGCGCGAGAACCTCAGTACGGTGGTGAAATTATCGCGCGGAATTGATCAGGCATAGATTCTCGTGAAAATGATAGTTACTGTCGTGAGTAGTCTAAGACTCTCTGAAAAGAGTTTTCCCTGCCGGAGTTTTGAGCAATGTACATGTGATGTAAATTTGATGACTCGAGAGGTGATCTGTCGTCCATCCGCCCCCTTGATGGATCACCCCTTCTGGAAACGCACTTATCATGGAAAAATAAAAGCCGTTGAAACACGCTTTTCAAGGGCCGACCGTCTCTTCCGAGGGACGCGCTGCCTCATTTAGATAGTGGAAAATGGGACTCGCCATGCACAATTTACTTGACATGGGAAAACAGACGCGTTAGAACGACCAGTCTTCTCCTCTCCGTACGAAAGGCGAAACGCCACTTTGTTTTCAACAGATTATATTCGTGGATTTCTTATTAGTTAAGACGGTATTTTTTGCTCATCTGCTTGTTCCTTTGTTTTTATTCCACCCAGGTTCTCGCTGCTCAGGTTGTGTGGAAAAACCAACGTTCGAAAGTGTTGTGAGCAGTTTTTGTATGGCTGATGTTGGTAAGTCTGCATTTTGGTGCAATCGTGTAGCCATTTCAAATGCGATCCATATCAATCACACAAGAATCCTGTTCAAGATACAACTCCCGCCATTTTCAATAGGGATATTTTGCTCTCCAAAGGGAAGGAACCTATTGGAAAAGCCTCAGACCGTTGACTTAAATAAGGTCGGCGATTTTGGCAAACGCTCATTTGTAAAATCAATTTGGTTTTTCCCGAGAGACTCAACCAAATCTCTCGTTTATAAAATTCTCCAACTGAGTGTGCTGGCCCGTGTTTCAGTTGGTACGATTTTAGAGATATCACAATATATTTTCATAAAGGAAATTAGTCACAAGGTTACTGAAAACTCTTCGGCAGCCCACGACCGGTTTTGCTCTTCTTTGGGCTCATCAGGTAGGCACAGTCCCTGAGTTTCCGTCAACCTTATGTTCTATTTGAACTTGGAATGTACGAAGTTTGCGAAATACACTCATTTTGCCCCAAGAAGCACGAAAATGGTCGTGGGCTGTCAAAGAGTTTTTAGCAACCTTGCGATATGTCGAATATTGTGCCGACTGAAATATGAAGCACCCGTGTGCAGCACATTCAGTTGAAGAACATCATAAACGGGAAACTAGCTTGAGTCTCTCGTGAAAACCAAATTGATTCGCAAATGAGTGTATTTGTTACAATCAATCCTATTTGGGTCGAATTGAAGCGTAAGATTGACGGAAACTCGGGGAGCGCGCCTACCTGATAGGCTGTCGAAGGGTTTTCAGCAACCTTGTGAGTAGTCTCCTTTATGAAAATCAGCGATTGTTGGACTTGGTGGCTGGCATGCCATCCCAGGATAACGCTCACGCGTCATGTAATTAGTGCGAGAATTGTGAGTATCAACTGTGAATTAACTCATAGAGTCAGCCTACTAATGGTGAACAAACGGAAAGTTCCGTCCGGTTACCTATCGACCCCCCGAAGAGCAGCTGTCAATTACGAGGTCATGGAAACGGAATCTAATTGGAGGGAGAAACAGCTCCGAACGTAACAGGACTACACAACCGCCAATATAATGGCCGTTTTCGTTGAGACAGATTTAATTGGTTTATCTTCACTTGCCCTTGTCGGGTGAGTTCTATTTCTAGCATCACTTTTTGGTCCACCTAGAACTTTCCACGTGAGCTTTATAAACAGCCCGTTTTCGGCTGCACATGACACGCCCGTACGCGTCAGTGTTCAGTAGATCAGCTGATTCGCACCTTCACTGGCTTTCTGGTTTGGCTAAGCGCACCAGGCGATCAAGCGGTTATCCAGACCCGGTTTCACGGTAGTAAAAGGGTATTAGGAAAACTGTTGTCCACAAAAGCGGTTGAAACTCAAGGATTGGCTGAGTCATGGAAAGTTCAGCTACACAGACTAAGAATCCGGAGATGTGTCAACTTTCACTTACCATTTCCGCTTACCCTTGAGGTCGATTTATGCTGAAAAGCCGAGAAGCACTGCACAGTAGTTTCTTCCTTACTGTGAATCATCTGCAGTGCGCATCTTACCATACTCAGAGAGTTTCGAACCCATGAGTTTCCGGCCAATGGTTGGATAGTTAACCGTTCCGCTGCAAGCGGCTGATTAGCTCACATTCGGAAAGGACATAGCACCACTGATCTTTCATGCACAAATGCCATGTCACGTGCTCACGTATTGATTAGACTCTCGATCGACTACCTCACTCATCTGGTAAAATTGTTTTGCTGCGCGACTACTTACAAACTGATGGAAGTTTAGTAATGGAGGTGGCTCAAAGGAAGAATGATTTCACAAGGTGAGTGAAGCCTTTGAGAAGTCTTCAAAACACGACTGCGTTATGGGGATTCCGTAAATGAATAATGAATGGCGCTATATACTCTCTAAGCGCGAGCTATTCACACTGTCGAACAGCCGCATGTGGCCGAACGGTGAGATGTTCTGGCCGGGATGCCGCGGATCCGAGACTCCAGAGTCTCGTGAGTTACGGATTCTTCCCAATAAGGACAAAGAAAATGTACAGTGCTTCTTGGCCTAGATTGGCTTCCGTTAGGCAGGACTCCACGCGGATCCCACTATACCGCATGTCTTTAGGCGCTGCTACGGCCGAGAAGCCTGGCCCGCTCGAGGTTGGCCCAGAATTCGGGACGCTTGCCGGTCCGGCATCAAAACGAGATCTGAGTGGTCAACAATCTGGACCCAACAGCCAATCGTGACCCAGTATTGGCCAAATGTCGGTTGCCAATGGCGCATCCACAACGCGTCAGAAATTTCAGAAAGTTATAACCGCTTACGCTATATATACGAAGCGCCGTACAACTGTTCTTGACTTCGTTTTTAGCGTTAATAGACCTTGTGCACCTTTGGTGGTTGTTTTGACGTGAATACTAGCTTGGGAGTCAGACCGAGCACTAAGCTGGGGAAACTACCGTTACTACAGCTTCACTATCAGGGAGAAATGTCACTGACTGTCAAAACTAGTGATCCGACGGGGGATCCAGGGGTAGCAGCAGGCCCTGGAGTAGAACAACATACACCGTGTATTAAAATTGATAGTCATACTTTTGGAATTTCCGAAATTTTGTCCATACCCGTCCTACAGACTAGAGAGTCAACAGTTAACTAGATTTCTGGGTTGCCAAGGCCACTTAAATGTCATAAACACGCGAATCGCCAGGGAAGTACCCATGATTTGATGTGTTTGCACACTTCTTGTTTCCATCCTTTGGTAGTTCACCCGAAACACCTTTTGACCAATGCGACATAGAGGGATCTATTTTTTCACTTTATGTGATACAGCGATACTGTAGACCTCAAACTTGAAAACTTGGGGGAGATATTTCCCTCAGATGGATGGATACACACCAGACTTTGTGAAGAAACAGAACATGCTTTAGCCGAAGAATGTGAGCAGTTTTTTAATCTTAAATGCAGCAGTCCTACTGAATTTAAAATCCAGAGGCGATGACATCAGCAAGCCATTAGAGCAGCGTTTACCTTTAGCTATTTAGCGAATCTGCTGTAACCTATGGCCAGAATTTCTGTGCCTCAGAACGCCGTTTTCAGTCTCGTTCGCTGTTTTACGTGTGTTTTCTGCGTCACCAACCTTGACAGAATTGGGAGGCGACTTCGACCTAGGCTGCTGCTCCTGCTGATGTCAGAAGATGGGATTTAGAACAGTGTAAACGGAAGGAACCAAGTGGGGGGCGAAATGGACCAAGTGGTCAGAGCGCGAATTTACTGACCTAAGGGTCCGTGGTTCGAACCCGGCCTCTGCCTCTCGACTTTTGTTGTCCAGGATTAATCAATCTAGCAGTATCCCATCCCATGTGCTTCCTTCTGGTGGCAAGCAGCTGTCAATTACGAGGTCATGGAAACGGAATCTAATTTGAGGGAGAAACAGCTCCGAACGTAACAGGACTACACAACCGCCAATATAATGGCCGTTTTCGTTGAGACAGATTTAATTGGTTTATCTTCACTTGCCCTTGTCGGGTGAGTTCTATTTCTAGCATCACTTTTTGGTCCACCTAGAACTTTCCACGTGAGCTTTATAAACAGCCCGTTTTCGGCTGCACATGACACGCCCGTACGCGTCAGTGTTCAGTAGATCAGCTGATTCGCACCTTCACTGGCTTTCTGGTTTGGCTAAGCGCACCAGGCGATCAATCGGTTATCCAGACCCGGTTTCACGGTAGTAAAAGGGTATTAGGAAAACTGTTGTCCACAAAAGCGGTTGAAACTCAAGGATTGGCTGAGTCATAGAAAGTTCAGCTACACAGACTAAGAATCCGGAGATGTGTCAACTTTCACTTACCATTTCCGCTTACCCTTGAGGTCGATTTATGCTGAAAAGCCGAGAAGCACTGCACAGTAGTTTCTTCCTTACTGTGAATCATCTGCAGTGCGCATCTTACCATACTCAGAGAGTTTCGAACCCATGAGTTTCCGGCCAATGGTTGGATAGTTAACCGTTCCGCTGCAAGCGGCTGATTAGCTCACATTCGGAAAGGACATAGCACCACTGATCTTTCATGCACAAATGCCATGTCACGTGCTCACGTATTGATTAGACTCTCGATCGACTACCTCACTCATCTGGTAAAATTATTTTGCTGCGCGACTACTTACAAACTGATGGAAGTTTAGTAATGGAGGTGGCTCAAAGGAAGAATGATTTCACAAGGTGAGTGAAGCCTTTGAGAAGTCTTCAAAATACGACTGCGTTATGGGGATTCCGTAAATGAATAATGAATGGCGCTATATACTCTCTAAGCGCGAGCTATTCGCACTGTCGAACAGCCGCATGTGGCCGAACGGTGAGATGTTCTGGCCGGGATGCCGCGGATCCGAGACTCCAGAGTCTCGTGAGTTACGGATTCTTCCCAATAAGGACAAAGAAAATGTACAGTGCTTCTTGGCCTAGATTGGCTTCCGTTAGGCAGGACTCCACGCGGATCCCACTATACCGCATGTCTTTAGGCGCTGCTACGGCCGAGAAGCCTGGCCCGCTCGAGGTTGGCCCAGAATTCGGGACGCTTGCCGGTCCGGCATCAAAACGAGATCTGAGTGGTCAACAATCTGGACCCAACAGCCAATCGTGACCCAGTGTTGGCCAAATGTCGGTTGCCAATGGCGCATCCACAACGCGTCAGAAATTTCAGAAAGTTATAACCGCTTACGCTTACGAAACGAAGCGCCGTACAACTGTTCTTGACTTCGTTTTTAGCGTTAATAGACCTTGTGCACCTTTGGTGGTTGTTTTGACGTGTAGCTTGGGACTACCGTTACTACAGCTTCACTATCAGGGAGAAATGTCACTAACTGTCAAAACTAGTGATCCGACGGGGGATCCAGGGGTAGCAGCAGGCCCTGGAGTAGAACAACATACACCGTGTATTAAAATTGATAGTCATACTTTTGGAATTTCCGAAATTTTGTCCATACCCGTCCTACAGACTAGAGAGTCAACAGTTAACTAGATTTCTGGGTTGCCAAGGCCACTTAAATGTCATAAACACGCGAATCGCCAGGGAAGTACCCATGATTTGATGTGTTTGCACACTTCTTGTTTCCATCCTTTGGTAGTTCACCCGAAACACCTTTTGACCAATGCGACATAGAGGGATCTATTTTTTCACTTTATGTGATACAGCGATACTGTAGACCTCAAACTTGAAAACTTGGGGGAGATATTTCCCTCAGATGGATGGATACACACCAGACTTTGTGAAGAAACAGAACATGCTTTAGCCGAAGAATGTGAGCAGTTTTTTAATCTTAAATGCAGCAGTCCTACTGAATTTAAAATCCAGAGGCGATGACATCAGCAAGCCATTAGAGCAGCGTTTACCTTTAGCTATTTAGCGAATCTGCTGTAACCTATGGCCAGAATTTCTGTGCCTCAGAACGCCGTTTTCAGTCTCGTTCGCTGTTTTACGTGTGTTTGCTGAGTCACCAACCTTGACAGAACTGAGGCGACTTCGACCTAGGCTGCTGCTCCTGCTGATGTCAGAAGATGGGATTTAGAACAGTGTAAACGGAAGGAACCAAGTGGGGGGCGAAATGGACCAAGTGGTCAGAGCGCGAATTTACTGACCTAAGGGTCCGTGGTTCGAACCCGGCCTCTGCCTCTCGACTTTTGTTGTCCAGGCTTGATCAACCTAGCAGTATCTCATCCGATGTGCTTCCTTCTGGTGGCATGGCAGCTAGGCACCGAAAAATTGTTACAGCTGGACAAGGGACCCAATGCTATCTATGCTAATCTTTTGGAGGTTGACTAGTTTCTTACCTCCAGATAATTTCATTTACATATTTGATATCGTTCTGTGGTGTACACCAAAAGCTATACAGCTGAACACCCGGCATTTCGTGTGGCCCACCCTTTCTCTGGGCTTTCTGCAACTTTCAGGTTGAACCACGGATCTTTTAGTCAGCGGTTTGTCCTCTGAGCTACCTTGATTCGGTGTTATGTCGAACTTTTGGTGTTCTTTTACAGCTAGACCGCAGCTGCATTAGGCAAAATATACAGTGACCCATCTCCGAGGTAGGCCGGCGGAATTCACTCATATCCGTCTAAAATGATTATTGAATATGCGTGGCTCGGGTTTTTTACCATGTTATCGATTTCCGATAAAACACCGTGTTTTGTGGAGTATCCTATAGGGTATGGAAAGGGCAGTGTTTCTTTTATAGCCGTAAGAATGTTAGAATTAAATCGACCACCCGTTGGTTCGGCTGCGGCTAGTTTGAGAGCTATGTATGCTCAGCCTCACACGTTGTCAGACAGGTAGGTGTGGCATTAGGTGTGCACATGCAGAAGAACGATTTTATCGCCTTTGGGATGGTGGAGATTTCACTGAGGTTACGTAAAAGTCAGTTGAATCTGATTTTCAAATTTCAAATTTGGTAGATGACTTGTCATGCAACACGAGTCACAGATTCCATAAAGTATCTGTAGCTTCGCGGTAGATTTTCGGTCACAGCCCCACAGACTCACGAACGTTCTCACCTTTTTCTTAGCACAACTGTACACAGTTTGGCGATAGCACAGTATGGGACTATGAAGCAGCTTAAACGTACCTCCAATATCTCGCGAATTTACGGTGCACTTGGATTTCAGCTCTCAAGGCCAGAATAACTTCGGTGACACGTACAAATTCCTCCACTGGGTCACTTTATACCCTCAAGCTGGGACGAAATCCGAAAGTTTTGAAGCTGAATACCAGCCTCTCGTCTTTGTCCCGCTTGTTGTTCGAAGTGGCCTGTGAGTGCAATTTGCTGGAGGTACCTTCGAGCGGGGAAACAACTCGTACCGCTGGGTGGCTTATCATGGGCAAGCTACTGAAAGACCGTCGGACACTGCAGGTAAGTGCTTTGTTTGAACCGGGTAGAGTTATCCTGAATTTTTCGATCCTTGTTTCTTTGTAGAAGGGGTAAACAGAGGCAAAAAGTCAATCCGAGTGGGTAACGTACAACAACCGTGTCTGAGGCACACAGGGCATATCGAAACAAAACCGACTACAATCCGCATACCGCTAATTACAAAGTGTTCTACCGATCGGTCAAACAAAACGTGCTATTCGTGCACAAGCTCTAACATTCCGATTGGTCAACCTACGCACAACTCAGAAAACGCGCGTGTTCATATAGGGTTTTGTCCACAAGCCAACTTAGGGGCCCATTAGCTGCACCATGCTCTTAGCTGCAAAATCTTCACGTGTGGAGTAAAACGTCTTGCACTAGGGATATCGGTGATCATATGACGAAGAGTTTTAAGCAAACTTGTGAGTAGTTTCCTTTATGAAGATATACTTCGATATCTCGAATACAATGTGGCCTTTGTACAGCCTAAGTTGAAGGATATCATGAACGAGCTACCTCCTGTGCTAGGGCACCACTAATAGGCCAGAGCATTCAGCCTGTCTTGGTTACGTCAGAATTAAGCACAACAATCGTTTGACTTATCGGGAAAACCTGGCCCGCTGGTTCTTTGTTAAGTAGCTAGCCAAATGCGCTTTCAGTTCACATGCGATTCAGTACGCACTGTGACGACGTGTGTGCAACGAAAGTATTTATAAATTTCTGGCTATTTTAACTTCTGTCATGTGACCATGGGCAGACTTGGACAAAGCTATATAAAGGAGGGGTGAACTAAATTGGAGCCAGTGGGCGCCCGCGTTGTAATTCTAGTCGGTATCCTAACAAGGGAACGGATGGCGGCGGGAAAAATTTCCCTCCCTCCCTCGAGAATTGTGAACAAGTAATAGATGTCCCATCGGCGTGAGTTGTGGTGGTTCAGGAGTAGACTCTAGATTCAATAAAGCAACCAGTTTGGTTGTTCGTGCGTTTCTGTCACGCTTTGGTCAGAATTGTCAGTGCTTAATATTTGTGAAGTTGTTTTCGTCTGCCACTTGTTATGACGGTTCATGTGTCCTACCTCTTCAATCCCGGTCCAAGCGCATGCAAATAGGTCCGATATGGGTTAAGTTAACAAATGCCCAGTGTACAAAACGCTCGGTTAACGGTGACCGAACTCTCTGGTTAAGAGGAGAAAAGTATTCATAAGTGCCAGTGATGTTAGCTAGTTAGACGCCTGTGCATCATTATTGCTATCATTGTCAACATCATCATCATCATCATCAGCAGCAGCATCGCCAACGGCATGACATCCATGTTCAGCACTGAAGTTTTGCTGTCGTATAACCAGGTTTTATTTGGAAGCCTCATTGTAAAGAAAAGAATAGAGGTGGGCAGGGAAGGGGCCTAATGCTACTTCACCACAATCATTCAGGTGTGCATACACCTCATGGATAAAAACTGGCGAGAACACCATTGACATTGATCGGCAGCTTTATCTTGCAGCGTCCGAACCAGGCGCAGTGGGTATCACGCGGGCCCAATCCTGGAAGGCCAGAAGCATCGGCAGCATCCAAACTCCTCGAAACCTCTTTCACGCACCTATGCCAGATCAGTAATTGGCCACTTCTCTGCTTCCGTCTCGCTGAACCGGGCAAACGATAACTTGGCAGACGCAACACATGGCCTAACCAACGCAGCTTCTGTAACTGGACATATTGTGCAATGGTAGCACCCGTGGCATAACCGGGAACTCGCTTTTTTGCCGTTTTATGGATCCGCCGGCGCCAACCTACAAGAGCTATGCTCATGGGATAAAGATCATTGAACCTCTGAATACGTGTCAGTTCCGGTGCCCGAACAGGCCATAGCCCACAGTCATACAACAAACAGCCCACACAGTAGTCTGAGAAACGCGTCCCTTGAGGTTCAAGCATATTCCAATTTGATGCCATAGGTGTCTCAAACTAGCAAACGCGGCCTAAACCTCTCAGATACTGACCTGACATGTGCACTCATTTGCAAATCGAGTTAGTGTCTAATTGAATACCAGGTTGCTTGTGAAGAGCAAGCAAAATTGTGGCTCACTGTGCTAGCTGCTCAATGTTCAAATCAAATTTCATCCACGAGGAGTAACTTATGACTCTTCACTTTCTTTGGAAAATTGGTGTTCTTTCTCAGCCAAGTTTGACAGTTTCGTTAATAGGTTTGGATTGGTTTCGCTTCCACAAACGGTGCCTCCATGATGTACTGCACTGATGAACCCTCTTCGCGGTTTTCCATAAAATACCAAACAGTATTTTCAAAATGCACCTCTTGGTTGGTATTCAAACTGTTAAACTTCCTTTATCTCACTGACGTTGTTTTGGACTGTTCTCATTCTTAGATTGAACATCTCTCGCGCATTGGGAGAAAAAGTCAAGGTGTCAGGCGCGCTATTCGAGCGATCCGTCGATCCCAGCCAAATCTTTGCAGGCTAACAATTCCAAATGTTGCACCTAAAAAACCAGTCGATGAGAGTTCGGATACCTTGGACTCAGCTCAAGATATTGCGAATGTTAGTCCACAGCGAGATCTGGATCTTGAGGAAGATGATTTGCTCATAAACTCAGGGTCCAAAAAGGGCCCGAGGTTGCATAGAAGGGAAGAAAGGACATCACGAGTGAGAAAAAATCGGAACAGTGAATCCATGTTAACAGCACAGGGGCAGTTTAAAAGGAATCCTCAGAGCAACCGGCGCCGATCTTTGGTACGCCGGAGCCAAGTTTATCACAAACCCTTTATTACCCCGCCAACATTTTCTGGCCCCAGATCGTCAACAAGTGGGCAGTGGAGTGCTGGACCAGTTAAAAACAGTCGACCTACAGCCGAAAGAATACCCCACAATAAGGTTCGAAAACGGACAGACTCACTTCAGGACGATGAAACAATGTATCCATTACTCGAGTCGGAGAAGGACTTGTTTTCGCCGCAAAACCTTGTGCCTTGGTTAAAATGACCACGTTTTTGGCATGAAACGTTTACCAGATAACTTCAACCCCATTTCTTTCATACCTTTAAACTATGTAGCACTAGTCATCATCACCATTTATCGATCGCTGCTGTTCAACATACTTTATTTCAAATAAATTGATCGTCCGTTCAAAAGGCTAGTTAGTTGTACTGTTTATTAAATTTTTCGGAAAGGCTAAGAAACGGGAAAGTCAAATAAAGCTAAATAAAGGTTTCTCGACGTTACTTCGTCGTTCAACTTGTTCATTTGACATGCTGCAATGAGGTCAAATGATGAGTTTCCGGAGAGCCTGATAGCGGTGAATGAAGCGCTTAACAAACGGTGTCCGCGAAAGAATGGATCAATTATTATCACTTGCGTTAGGCTTAAACTGATGTGCTTTTCCTCTTGCACATTGTTCTGCCAGCGTTTACAGTTTTTTTCTGGGTTATGGAACATTTCGCACACGAGCGCTGCATAGTCTTGGAAGAGATTCATCCTTAGTCGACATGATTCTTGCTGCCGCTAAGTTCATATGATGTAGCAGCATTTCTCAAAATTTGCTTCCAGTTTCACCGACACAACCCATTTCTACCACCAATCCCTGGTGTGCTCCTGAAGATCTCGTACCCCGTGCGTGAGGTTTGGCCAATGGACCTGAGGGGACTGTGGCAAGTAGATAGCCACCACTCTGCGTCGCCGAGGCCAATAAAATGACACCAGGAGGTGTTTAGTTCCTTTTTGCGGGCAGTTTGCTACTTTCTCAGAACATAGTGAAGTTTCCTCGTATAACGTGAATGAGGATAAATTCTCGCGTGCTCAGTCAATTATTTCGCGCTTGTCCACTGGCCTTTCGCTAGCCGCTTCATCTGCGGGATCACATACCAGCCACAAAGCAGAGTAGTCTAAACTAAGGAAACACTCCGGTCGGCACGCTCAGATCAAATGCAATTTTCGGCTGGGACTGAGAAGCACTACAAACATGTTTTGTCAAGGCCGTGACCAAGAGGCCCAGAAACTAATAACTGCAGTCCGGAAAAACGAGGGTGTCTTACGAGGAACTCGACCCACAACAGTCAGAAACAAGGACTTCTCTTGATCCTCTCCCATAATTACTCCGCGACTAGCTCTAACTCTGTTATCCCATTATCACCCCGTGCACCTAACTCGCCTTCTTGTCTAGCATGCCTCCCCCGCATTTGCAATAAGCATGCTCCGTTCTTGCCCCCATTTGCTCTCTGATCCTAGGTCCAATCCAAGTCACTCTTCCGGGGAACTTTTATATCCGACTCCATTACAAAACCGACACCAGTGAGTCTCCACATTTTCACTGTACATCATGGTTCTGAGATTCCTGATGCCATTTATCCGCATTGCTAATCGAGTTCATCATCCCCACTTACGGTTTATGTGACCCTAACCACAAGCCCAACAATCAAAGGCCACGATGGGGGCTCCTTGGCCGCATAATGCTCCTGGCTGTAAAACCTGTGCGAATAGGATAAAACTCTTTACGCCCAAATCTTGCATTTGTTGTGTGTATGCTGGAACCAAAAATCCGTTCTAACCTACGTTCATATTTTTGGAGATTAGCAAATTTCAATGACCACTGAAGCAGTCGTACGTCTGACAAACATTTTGGTGGGAAAATCTCCAAGCGTCCCTGGGATGCCGGGCGCCTAAATGGAGCTCAAAAGTTTGGATTCGTATTCTGGACTCAATTGCCTACTTATTTTAGTCTATCGGGACAGGTAAATAGCCTTCGAAAATTCAATTCCATTGTGCGAATACTGAGCTCTTCACGAGGCCGCAGCTTTGGACCGACCGGATTACGCCAACTCTGCAGCTTTGCAAGTATTGCCTTTCTGGCTCCGCATTTTCTGCAATTTTCACTTTTCTCGTCACATTTCGGGCAGAATAACACTTGTTTTGCCCTCCATCGTTTTGTTTTTGCCCGCCGCTTTCAAATACGAACGATCTGAACTTGCTTCAGCCTGCCAATTTCCCGAATGGAAAATAAGAAGTGCGCACCCGTGCCCGTGCCCATTTAGAGTTGACTACGTTTACACCAGGTAATCACCTGTTTTATGGCACTGTCCGTTTTGCTCGCATTCAATGGTAACCACAAATCCCGCTAGTCATGCTTTCATTTTGATTGCAACATTATGATCATGCCCGACGGTATACCGCCAACCAGTTGGGACTAGACGCTATTATATCACTATTATCTCATTATCCTGCTGCCTGCCTGAGCACCATACAACTGAAAAGACAAAAAGAGAGGAAAAGATAGCTAGAATGTTTGTGAGACCTGCACTTGCGTGTGCTGTAGGGTCTCTGAGCCGTACGATTCAGAACAACAGTTTCTCCTCACCCTAAGCTATTTACATCTTGACTTACCTCAGGATAAAATGGACTAAAAAATTGCCCCCAGGTTAACTTTTGCATCATGTAGATCGCCCTTATGTTTACACATGGGGTATCCCTGCCGTAAAATCCCTGATCAGAACGTGTTAGCTACTCCTAGCCTCAACGTTATCCACCGATCGCCCAGGCTGCGTTGGGGTAAAGATACGCAGAAGTGATAACTAGTAATACTCCCTCTGATGCGCGGAGATGATATATTTTCTTCCATCTTTCGCCATGCCAACTCGCCCCAATTTTCTGAATGCCAACTACAAATCCTTGATCAAGACTCCGCTCTATCTTCATGAAGTTGATTCCTTCTAATGAAGTCGATGCTTTAAGAACCCAACCCAATTCATCCACCAGATGGTATCTCCTCCAATAAACTACGTACCATATAACGGACCTCATCCCTATTTAATAAAGCTTTACTGCTCGCTTTTAGCTCAAGACGGCTCATCTCCAAATGTAGAGCTTAAAGTTACACATAGGCTTGACGATCTTAAACATTAAAGGGAAAAATAGGTCTGGAATTATGTTGTATTATTTGACATCAAATAAGCGGACTTTTGTAGATTATCTCATCGTAAAACATCTCGTAAAATGTTTCGTTGTATAATATATCGTCGGGTCAAAAAGAATCATGCACGTCTGTCGCCTCTTGACAGAGCAGAGTGTCAGCGTTTGCGCACCAGGCGAAGCCAGGTGGAACAGTGGCATCTCGGTGTGCAATCCAACACAACTAACCAAGATCAATCTCGTGATTCCGGTCGGCGGTGCTAAAATACTGGCATCATTGTAATAGGAGCCGGAGTGGGCATAGGAGACGGCGCACAGTTGTAAATATGTATTTATTAAGGTGACGTGCACCAACTCACATAAAAGCATACAAAAGTCCGGGGGGAGACTACCTTGGCAGGCTCACGGGAAAACAGGAACAAATGGACACATAGTAGGGCACCCAAACGACCAAGGATTATCAAGCTTTCAATTTGTGTCCGATCCTCATTATGCAGCTATCTGTTATCTTGCTGTTAGCTACGAAGAACATAGAAAAATAATTTTTTGGGCGTCGCCTACCGGGATTTTGATCCCCGAATAAAACGACCGGCTGAGTGCAAACCTGATGGACCCCATGTGACAGTAACCACTGCCTTCCTGCTCTTTCTCTTCTATCCCTGCTTCAAGTCTGATGCTCCTTTCTGGAGGATTGTCGCAACCCGCCTCTTATATACAAGGTAACGCAACCATGACATGTCAAGCCAATGTATCACTGGCATCACCAACACTCAAAACTGGTGGAGACAATGGTAGGTTTCTTCCAGCATTTCTGCCATCCAGTGATCGCTGTAATTTTTTACTGCCAGCTACTGACTGGATAGTTTCGAATTGCCTTTCTCAAACCCACAGGAGCTGCTAAGGCAAAGTTGAGAAACCACATTGTTCCTGATTTTTTACACGGTCTTTTCATAGAGATCCCCGAAACGCGGTTATCCGAGGTTGTAAGAGGCTTGGTATCGCTGGCCAAAGTTCTCGCTGGTTGTGAGTCGTCCTAACAAATGGATACCCCGAATTCCGGGTAGTGGTCCTTTCACGCCATTTTTGAGCCATTCAGAGGACGCCCTCAACGCACGCCCATAGCCCCTATGCGTTTATAATGTCCTCCCGACAATGACGCAGTTGCCGGTTGCCGATGATTTCAGAATATGATGGGGCAACCTTATCACTATACAATAGGTCATTTTGGTCTCGCCGAAACGTTCTATCGATTGGTTGCACAAGAACAGTACATATACGTTGCTATGCGCCACATTCTCCCACAGATCTAGGTTTGCGTTGAAAAAGGGCATTACTCTGGTTTCTTCCACTGCCCACACATAGCCGTACCTCCAGAGCCGCTCCGGTCACCAGGGTTTACACCAAGATCGAGAAAAGTTTCCATGCAGTCCGCCACTATTGCTCTTCTATTAGCCTTCAGCCCCTTAACATTTACATCACATTTATCCGGCACTTTTAAGATCGTCACGGTCCTGTTTGGGCTGCTTGGCCTAAATGGGATAAAACATCATAAAATGTGCCCGATAAGGCGCAGAGAGAGCTACCCCGACTTTCCGTCACAATAAATAGCCACTTGGATCTCATCGTTTTCCCCTAATGCCAGCGCTTTCGTTTGGGTCATTTTATAGCTTGGGGCACCAAAGGCGGCTTCCTCAAGTGTTCAATGCCTTAAATTCGGTGTTTGCACGAGGCGCACCAGCCAAGTCCGTTTACTTTATCTTCTCGATTGTGACTTCATTTGGCAACGGATCTTGTAGCCATCCCATCACGCACATGCAAAACTGTGCAGCTCACCGCCACTCACTAGGTCATTGTACTTGCCTTTTTTCCTGTACTTACAAATCACAACACGCAAGGGTGACCCATCTGACATTGACTGTCTACTGTCTGATACTTGCAGCAACAAGTCATGTGCTGACACCCGCACACATGCGAGCGTACCTACATAGAGTAAAACAACACAGCAACATAACGCAACTCAACAGGGCTACGCAAGCCGCTTAGATCGGACTCTAGCCGCTCAAGAATTACAGCGCCCCACTCACGGACAGTCAGGAAATACGCGTAGCTTCTGCAACAGCGAAGAAAGCACAAAACCTGCGCCTGGACCTGCAACAGGATTTATCAACTTGTATCTCCAATACGATAACTCCCTGGTCCATATATAAACCTACTATAATCATTTTACCTAAGAAGACTGTCATTGTTAGTGCTCCCAGTTTTC